CGGACACTATGTGGCCGCGGGTCAACCAAACCCACTGGCTAGGACCCAGCCGGCGCGGGGGCGCGGGGGCGCGGGGGCGCGGGGGCGCGGGGGCGCGGGGGCGCGGGGGCGCGGGGGCGCGGGGGCGCGGGGGCGCGGGGGCGCGGGGGCGCGGGGGCGCGGGGGCGCGGCTTGGCCACAACCGCGCGCACCAGCCGGGCCCCCGCCCGGCCACACGCGCTGCCCGCGATCCCTGCGCCCGCGCCCGCACCAGCAAGAGCTGGGACGCAGGTCACCCGGCTCCTGCACCCCGCACCCGCCGGAGCGGCTCCCGCGGTCCGGGGAGTGGGCCGGGAAAGGGGAGAGGGGCGGCACCCTAGTGCGGGCCCCCAGGAGCTCCCACCCGGGCCACCGCGCACAAAGGGCGGCAGGGCGGCCAGAGCCGCTTGCGCCTCCGCCCTCCGGGCCCCATGCCCGCGGGGCAGGCGAGGCCAGGGCTTCGGAGACTCAAACCATAACTGGTGCCAAACTGGGCTTCCTCATTCCCACGGCAGGACGGGGTGGCTGGGCGCCGGAGCGGACGGGGCTGTTCGCTCTGGGCCCCTCGTCCAGCAGTCCGGGTCCGCCGCCTTTGTTCCGGCCGCAGTAATGGGACATCAGCCGCCTATTAGGGTCCCGCTGCAGCCACGCCAGCGTCTCCCTGCTTTGCTACCAAGTAACAGGATTAGCCAACAAGAGCGAGATTTCAAATTAACCATAAAAATTACAAATTGCAATTCATTTAGCTGCCCATTTGCTACATTAAAAACATAAATAAGTGAGTTTGTGTTCCGAGGGGTGAAACGCAGGCAAGACTGAAGAACTAGGGCCTGGCGGGGGAGGGGGGCGGGGGGAGGAGTCACCCCCATGGGCAGCCAAGGGGCCAGACCCAGGCCCTTTGTGCTCCAGAGGTCACATGGGGACCCCGACAGGAGGCCGCTAGACCTGAGTTCCTCCCCAGGCGGGCTGTGTGGGGGAAGAGGGGTGGGGGAGAGGGGTGGGGGGAGAGGGGTGGGGAGAGGGGTGGGGGGGGGGAGGGAGAGGGGTGGGGGAGAGTGGTGGGGGGTGGGGGAGAGGGGGTGGGGAGAGGGGTGGGGGAGAGGGGTGGGGGAGAGAGGGGGTGGAGGAGTGGGGTGGGGGACGAGGGGGAAGAGGGGTGGGGGGTGGATGGGGGGAGAGGGGTGGGGTGGGGGAGGGTGGGGGAGTGGGATGGGGGAGAGGGGTGGGGGCGAGGGGGGGAGAGGGGTGGGGAGAGGGGAGTGGGGGGAGAGGGGTGGGGGGAGAGGGGTGGGAGGAGTGGGGTGGGGGAGAGGGGGAAGAGGGGTGGGGGAGTGGGATGGGGGAGGGGGGAGGAGAGGGGTGGGGGGAGAGGGGTGGGGGGGGAGGGGTGGGGGGAGAGGGGTGGGGAGAGGGGTGGGGGGGGAGGGGGTGGGGGAGAGGGGTGGGGGAGCAGGGGTGGGGGGAGTGGGGTGGGGGAGAGGTGGGGAGAGGGGTGGGGGAGGGGTGGGGGAGAGGGGTGGGGGGAGGTGGGTGGGGAGAGGGGTGCGGGGAGAGGGTGGTGGGGTGGAGGGAGCGGGGTGGGGGGAGAGGGGTGGGGGGAGAGGTGTGTGGGGAGAGGGGTGGGGGGGAGAGGGGTGGGGGGGAGAGGGGTGGGGGTGGTGGGGGGGGGGGAGAGGGGATAGGGGGTGGGGGGGAGAGGGGTGGGGGAGAGAGGGGTGGGAGGATGGGTGGGGGAGAGGGGTGCGGGGAGGAGGGGTGGGGGAGGAGTGGGGTGGGGGAGCGGGTGGGGGGAAGAGGGTGGTGGGGGAGAGGGGTGGGGGAGAGGGTGTGGGGGCGAGAGGTGGGGTAGAGGGGTGGGTGCGAGGGGTGGGGGGTGAGGGGTGGGGGAGAGGGGTGGGAGTGAGGGGTGGGGGAGAGGGGTGGGGGGAGAGGGGGTGGGGGGAGAGGGGTGGGGGAGAGGGGTGGGGAGAGGGGTGGGGGGGAGAGGGGTGGGGGAGAGAGGGGTGGAGGAGAGGGGTGGGGGAGGAGGATGGGGTGAGAGGGGTGGGGGGAGAGGGGTGGGGGAGAGGGGTGGGGGAGGGAGGGGTGAGGGGGGGGGGAGGGGTGGGGGAGAGGGGTGGGGGGAGAGGGGTGGGGGGAAGAGGGGTGGGGGGAGTGGGGGTGGGGGAGAGGGGGTGGGGTGGAGTGGGGGGGGGGGAGAGGGGGAAGTGGGGTGGGGAGAGGGGGGAGAGGGGTGGGGAGAGGGGATGGGGGGAGAGGGGGTGGGGGAGCGGGGTGGGGGAGAGGGGTTGGGGGGAGAGGGGTGGGGGAGAGGGGTGGGGAGAGGGGTGGGGGGAGAGGGTGGAGGGAGAGGGGTGGGGGAGAGGGGTAGGGAGAGGGGTGGGGAGGAGAGGGTGGAGGGGGAGAGGGGTGGGGGGGAGAGGGGGGGGGGGAGTGGGGGAGGGGGGGGGGGAGAGGGGTGGGGGGAGGGAAGGGGTGGGGGGAGAGGGGTGAGGGAGAGGGGTGGTTAGAGGTGGTCTCTCCAGGGGACAGGGCTGGGCCCAAACCAAGAAGGTCAGGAAAACCAGCAACTGGGACCTAAAACTCAGGGCGGCGGTTCCCCCTGTGTCTGGTGCAGGAGGGAGACGTGGTGAATTCTGTTCGCATCCGGAAGTGGGCATGCCTTGGGCATGTGGGGTGGGTGCGTGGGACTGGGGTGGCCCCTAGAACCCAGTGTCCACTCGGCTGTTACTAAGGTTTTCCGTGTTAAGGAAGCCCAGAGCCCAAGTTCTGTCTGCAGAGCGGACTCCGCGAGCATCTGGTTTGTGGGTCAGGAGAGGGGCTGGTGTGTGTGGGCCCAGAGGGCCCCCCGCTTTGCTGTGGGGGTGGCATGGACATGAGTCTCCATCTTCCTAACCCCCATTTTCCCCCCCATACCCGTCCCCCCTCCCCCCCCCCACATCACTGGAGGAGCTCTGACCAGGCCTGGCTCCCGCTGGGGGGGTTTATTTACTTCGGGAGGGAGATTTCGATGGGGGTGGGGTTGGGGTGCAGCAGGGAGGAGGGCAGCCAGAGGCGGGCGCTGGGATGAGCAGGTGCCTGAGGAAGGGAACAAGGTCCCGTCACCTCCAGGAGTGCACCTGGTTCTCCCCCCCCTTACCTCCCTCCCTCCCCTCCTGCCCTTAACCCAGGCCCAGGCCCGAGGCGGCCTCACCTTCTCCCTAGAATGTTGTCGAATAAATCGGGACAAATAGATTCCTCCGGAGCAAGGCCTCCACGGTAACATGGGGTCAGGAAGGCGGGACCAGAGGCCAGGGGGCGCTCAGGGTGCCTTCCCAATCCATCCTTTCTGCCCCCCCCCCCCCCCCCCAGCCTGCTCACCGGCTGGATGGCGCCCCAACACCTGGGGGCTGGCATCAGGAAGGCCAGGCTGTGGCACCTTTAACGGGTGGGTGCCCTGGGTGCCCCCACACCTGGCCACATGTCTCCAGCAGTTCTCCCCCTCCAGGCCCTGGGAAGAGGGATTCGCCCAGTGACACCCCCCCCCCCCCCCCCCATGGAGCGCTGGCCTGGAAAGCCGTGAGGAGGGGACGCTGACTGTTCCCCTCCTCCCGATCCGCCCTCGTCCTGGTTAGGGGTCAGAGACACAGGGGGCTGGCCTTTCCCTCTGGCCACCAGCCAGGCGCAGATTCATTCCATTTCCCCCTCCAGCTTGTGGCGATGCAGGTCCAGGAGGGAGGGCCCCTTTGTTCCCAAGAAAGAGCGGCAAGCTCACCAGCCAGGTCCTCGCAGCCTGGAGGGGACCGGTGTCCCCAGCGGGCATCGGGGCTGCTGGGCTGTGCCCTGTGGGGGGGATGGGGCACCTGCTCCCGTCCTGGCCGGGTCCTTTGGGGCTTCGAGCTGTCCCCCCTGAGCTGCCATGGCCTCACACAATCCTGGCACAAAGGCTTTGTCCGTGCAAACGGCCTTCAGCAGGGGCTGCAGGTCCTGGGAAAACGCCCTTGCGGCCGGCCGACCAGCAGCCCTGAGCCGGGCGCAGTCACTCAGGCACAGTCCCTGCGGGGAGAGGGCAAGGGGCCCCGGCTCTGGTGGCAGAGCAGCCTCCATGGCCGCTCATTGGCGTTATTGGAATTTTGTCTGTAGGTGCCGTCAGCAGGTGATGAAATATAGTGGCAACCATACTTTGGTAAAAACTGCTGTTTGAATTTTAACCCTTCTAGCTTAGCTCTTGCACCCGATTAAACACGGGGGCGGGAGGGGTGTGTGTGTGTGTGTGTGTGTGTGCAGGGGGAGCTATTTACCTCAGCTTTCTAAATTCTAAATCCTAAAGACTACAGAGGCTACTTGGAGACTTGGAGGCTAAGGCAGTTTTCCCATGCCTGGGACCAGGAGCACAGGAGAGTAATTCCCACTGACTCAGTAACCTGCAGAGATAGAAACTGCAGATAACCGCTGAGCTCTGCTTCTGTGTTATAGGCTATTGCAACATAGGGCCACATTCCAATGTCCAGCAGGATGTGACTAGCAACGACCCTGCGGGCTGACCCCAGTCTTTAGAATGTAGTCTGTAAGATTTAGAATTTAGAACAAAGGAAAATTCCTGTGGTTTGAACCTTTAAAAGGGACTGCCTGCCCCTGAAACGGCGCAGTCGTGTGGAGACCACCTGCGGGTGGTGCTCTCGGTCTGTCCTGGCCGATATTTCAATACATCTTTGCCTGCTTTTTAATAAATCATCAGCCTCCGGTGGTCTTATTTTGACCCCAGGGTTCGACCCATAACAGTGAGAGATCTCGGAGGACACGTGTTCACACTGTCCTCTGAGCCAGGGCACGAGGGAGTGAGCACAGGATTCCGTGAACACCTGGGTCCGCTGTGCTCAGGCTGCTGGGAAAGGCCGGGATCATCGGGGCGCCGCCTTCGACACGCCCCTTGGCCTTCCCAGGTGGGAATTCCGATAAACAGGGCGGCGGCCTTCCACACCCCCCTTTCCTCATTGCCCCCCATGACGTTCCAGCCCCCTCTCGTGTGCCCACCGGCTCCGTGGCCACAGGAGGAGGTGGACAGTGACGTGGACGAGGGCGCCGCCGGCCTTTGTGACCGTGACCGGAGCGCCAGGCGCAGCCTGTCCTCCGCACGCCCTGGGCGGTCCGTGCCGTCTCCGTGCCGTCCGTGCTATCTCCCTGGGCGGAGCGAGGCACCCAGGCTGCCCAGGATGGACCGAGACCCGCTGCCCCTCCCCGCTGCACTCGGGCTCCGGCCTGGAAAAGGGGGTGAAGCCCCCATCATCCTGGGGCGGGCCCAGGGGGACTGGCGGGGACTCTGAACGTGAGCTGGACCCCCGTGTGCCGGACCCCGTGTGCCGGACCCCGTGTGCCGGATGCCCCGTGTGCCGGACCCCCTCTTGTGCTGGGCCCCGTGTGCCGGACGCCCGTGTGCCGGACCCCGTGTGCCGGACGCCCCGTGTGCCGGACGCCCGTGTGCCGGACCCCCCGTGTGCCGGACCCCCCGGTGTGCCGGATGCCCCGTGTGCCGGACGCCCGTGTGCCAGACCCCGTGTGCCGGACGCCCCGTGTGCCGGACGCCCGTGTGCCGGACCCCCCGTGTGCTGGACCCCCCGGTGTGCCGGACGCCCCGTGTGCCGGACGCCCGTGTGCCGGGCCCCCGTGTGCCGGACGCTCGTGTGCCGGACGCCCCGTGTGCTGGACGCCCGTGTGCCGGACGCCCCGGTGTGCCAGACCCCGTGTGCCGACGCCCGTGTGCCGGACTCTGGTGTGCCGGACCCCCCGGGTGCCGGACCCCCCGTGTGCTGGACCCCCCGGTGTGCCGGATCCCCCATGTGCCGGGCCCCCGTGTGCCGGGCCCCCATGTGCCGGACGCCCGTGTGCCGGACCCCCGTGTGCTGGGTCCCCGTGTGCCGGACCCTGTGTGCCGGACGCCCGTGTGCCGGACGCCCGTGTGCCGGACCCCCGTGTGCCGGGCCCCCGTGTGCCGGACGCCCGTGTGCCGGACGCCCGTGTGCTGGACCCCCGTGTGCTGGACCCCCGTGGGGGCCTCCTAGGAGCTGCAGGGAGTGGGGCACGGGGATGAATTTGAAACCGCTGTCCCCAAGAGAGACTGTCTGAAGGGCCCCCACAGCCAGAGCCCGTCGGGGCAGGGAGGCGGAGACGGTGCCAGGTGAGGCCTAGGGATGAGGAGGCTGGAACTGCAGCGAGACTGGCACCAGCAGGCCCCAGGCTTTACGAAGCACTGCTGTGGCCAGGCATTGTCGCCCGTGTGTGGGCGTGTGCGCAGGGCGTGTAGCCGCCCCCAAGCTCGCTCCCAGGTCTGTTCTTTATTCAGAGAAAGTGCCCTCAAGCATGGCCTCCTTGTCACAGCGGAAGCAAATGCAGCTCCAACAGGTCTATCTAGAACCTTCCACACTTAGCAAAATCCCTGCCTGCGTCTCATTGCCCCTCTGGCAGTCGGCGCCCGCGTGGGGAAGGCTCGGTGCTGGTGCTGGGGTGCAGGGTGGGGCTGCACTTCTCATTTCCAGTTCCCCTGGGGAGTGAGGACAGGTGATGAGGGGCGGGGGGAGCCTGGGGGTATGTATGGGCGCATCTGTTCAAGACTCTGGAACATTGTGAAGAAGATGGACCCTTTCCATGCCTTTGGGAGTTTGAGTGCTCCCAGTGCTGCCTCTCGTTCCCACAGGGATTCCCGCCCCACTCGCCTGGGTTCTGAGCCCCTGGGCCCACGTCCCCGTGGCTCTGGCCTGGGAAGCTGAGTCCGGGCTGTGGGAGTGCGGAGCCTCAGGAGGCGGGGCCTCAGGGAGGACAGGCGGGGCCAGAGTGAATGGCAGAAGCAGGGCCTCGGTGTCCTCCCCCTCCCCCGCTGTGGGTCAGAAGCCACCTGTCCACACATCTCCACTCCGTGGGTTGGAAGTGAGGCCCTAGAGTAGGAGTGTCGAACTCAATCAGAGAAGGGGCCAAAATCTAAAATCCAGCCTAAATCGTGGGCCGAATGGTTTACTGAACAGTCATAAACTGTCATTGTGATGGAAACGCAGCGGAGTGCAGTGATGACAGCGCGGTGCGGGCCACATTGCAAGGCCTGGCGGGACGGATTTGGCCCGCGGGCCTTGTGTTTGACACATGTGCCCTAGAGGGTGAGTGATGGGCGACTAGGATGGCTCACTAGGGCCTGGAGAGCGAGCCCTGTGGGTGACAGTAACAGGAACTTCCCCGCGACTGCGTGTGCTGTGAGCGGGCGCCATTCCCCCGCTCGGTGTGGGGCTCACACTGAGCCGGGGCCCGGCCAGTGCCTGTTCCCATTCACAGGGAGGCCTCGGGGCCACAGCCGGCAGGTGGTGGAGTCACAGACTGTCGCCCCCCCGCCCCCGTCCTGTCACAAAGAGGTGGCCGCCCAGGAGCAGCCCTGCCCCGCAGCGTGGGGAGGTGCGAACGGAATGGCCACTGCCGCTGGGACGCCTTTCTGGTCCGTCCTGAGGTGCACTGAGGAGGGACACCTGAGTCCTCCCGGGTGGAAGGGCGCAGTGGCCCGCCTGCCATGGCCGTCACCCTGGGGAGCGTCCCAGAGGCTGACCGGCCCCTCCCTCATCCTGAGCTTCTATCTAGCGAGTCTTCATCCCACTGGCCACCCGGCCTCAGCCATCTGCGTCCACCCACCGCCGGCAGCCCCGCCAGCCTCGGTCCTTTGGCCTGAACACCTGCTCCAGCTGTGACTGTCCCCGCGGCCTGCCTTGGCGGGGTCCGGCTCAGCTGGAGTGGAGCTGCCCCCCTGAGTGAGGGACCCGCGCCCAGGTGCTGCAGCCCACTGTGAGCACAGCAGCGCCCCCCGCAGTGGGTGAGGCGACTCCAAGTGGAGACGCTTCACGGGACCCCAGGCAACGCCCCTCCCTGGATCACAGGGAGCTCTGCCTTCATTCACCCCAAGACCTGGCGCCCCAAACGCCAACCAGCAGACAGCCAAGGGGATGGCTCTGAGCGAGGTGTTCGTCCAGCCCTCCACACAAGCGCTGTGTGGCCTTGCGCTAGTCTCGCCACCTCTCTGAGCCTGTGCCCTGCCTGCAGGGGAGGAAGGGCGGGGTGGGCGAGCACAGGTGGCTGCTGTGATGACACAGGAGAGGAACAATAACTGCCCAGGACTCTCCCTGTCACTGCCCTCTCCCGCTGCCCACACTCCGGCGGGACCAGCGCTCCCCATGGCCACGAGCAGCGCCCCGATGCCAGGCGGGCACAGAGGGAGGAGCAGCAGCACCGGAGCCAGGAGCACTGCTCTGGCGCCAGCCGGCCCCGGCCTCCATTCCTGTCTGCCTCCCTGGACATTCTGGCCTGCGTGTGGCGTTCCTCTGCCTCGGGAGCCTGTCCCTCTGTCCCTGCATCTCTGCTGAGGGTGACATCTCCTCCCTGTTCTGATGACCAAGCCGAGGGGGGGGGGGTCCCCCACCATCCCTGCTAGTCTGACAACTGCACCCCAGTTGCCTATAAAGTGAAATTGCACTTTCTTTAGGGTTTGGCTTTCACAGCTTCAGAGACTGTGAGACGGAAACACGGGGAAGCTACCTGCCTTCTGGCCCCGCCATCCACGCGGGGGGACCCTGTGCCTGTGTGGGCGTCTCCCTGGCCTTGCGCTTTGGGGTGTCTGCACCAGCCTCACCACCTCCCGGGAAGAGCCCTCCGGCAGGGCTGTCGCTGGGCTTGCAGAATGGAAAGGGCCAGCTCGTGCTGCGGAGCGACGGCTGCCGGCTGGGCCCGCACCTGAAGTCCAGGGTGGTCACCATGTAGATGGCAAAGGATGTCCATTTGGAGGAAACCAGACCCTCAGAGGGTGCCGACATGAGCAGTCAGACAGAGCCTGGAGCCTGGTCTGCATGTGACATGTGACCATCTCCCTGCAGCGAGGCCTCACTAAGGCCGTTAGCAGTGCTGGTCAGCTCCGGCACCCTGAGCTCGGCGCCTGCTCTCCTCCTCCCCCTCCTCCCCGCTCGACCCCTCCACCCTGCTCCTTCCTGCTCCTCCCCGCTCCTCCCCCTCCACCCCCTCCACCCTGCTCCTCCCCCCTCCTCCCCACTCCTCCCTGCTCCTCCCCACTCCTCCTGGCTCCACCCCGCTCCTCTCTGCTCCTCCTGGCTCCTCCTCACTCCTCCCGGTTCCACCCTGCTCCTCCCCACTCCTCCCTGCTCCTCCCCCTCCACCTCGCTCCTCCCTGCTCCTCCCCGCTCCTCCCCACTCCTCCCCACTCCTCCCATTCCTTCCCCTCCAACCCCTCCTCTCCGCTCCTCCCTGCTCCTCCCTGCTCCTCCCTGCTCCTCCCTGCTCCTTCGCATGCTGCACTGTAGGCCTTGCTGACTGCACCCTGCGGCTGCTGAGGCCACGCGTGTCTGTAAATGCAGGCTTTTTCTCTTTGGCACCTGGGGGCCTGTTGCGATGGGGCCAGACATGGCGGGGATCTCCCTTTTCCGTGTCCCGCACGGAGAGAGATGAACGAACCCTTTTTAAGTGGAGGCGGCCAGGGATTGAGAAATATTAGAAATAGAGAGAAGACACACAGATAGATTTTAAGCTGGGATCTGGGTGGGCCGCTTCCTGTCTGCTGGAGAGGCAGGAAGAAGACGACCCCTCCCTGCTAGCACATTTATTTTATCCCCAATACCAGGAAGTAACACCAACTTATTTGCATTCTTAAGGAGGCCCTAGCATGCCTGGATTTACATACCTAGTCCCGCCCCTGCCGATACCTGGGCTGATATGAAGGCCAAGCTGACAACATGTCTGCCATCTTGGGGAAACATGCTCACAAGGTGTGGCTCTGCCTGCACCTTGAGTTCAGCTGATGATAATTAAGGAAAATTGCCCATGTGCCTTCCCAGGCGGCCCTCTACACTCCCCTGTCAGCCTGATCATCCCTAACTGCCCTCCCCTGCCAGTCTGCTTGCCCCCTAACTGCCCTCCCTGCTGACCTGGTCTCCTCCAACTGCTCTCCTCTGCTGGCCCAGTCACCTTTAACTGTCCTTCCTGCTTGCCTGATTGCCCACAACTGCCCTCCCCTGCAGGCCTGGTCCCTCCCAAGTGCCCTCCTCTGCTGTCTTGGTCTCCCCCAATTCCTCTCCTCTGCTGGCCTGGTCACCCTAACTGCCCACAACTGCCCTCCCCTGCTGGCCATCTTGTATCCACATGGAGGCAGCCATCTTTGACCACATGGGGGCGGCCATCTTGTGTCTTAGAGTAACAGTCTTTTATTAGGACTTTTTCATAATCCTCACCAGAGGATATGTTTTTATTGATCACAGAGAGAGGAAGAGAGAAACATCGATGTAAGAAACATTGATCAGTTGCTTCCCTCCTCCCCTCCCCCGCTCCCTTCTACACTCCCAACCAGGATTGAACGGGATGGTGCTCTAGCCCATGAGCTGCCCAGCCGGGGGAAGATCTCTTTCTCAGCTGCATAACCTCACCATTGGGTCAGGGGTTACAGTTCACACAGCAGAGCTGAGGCTGGCGGCGGGGTGGGTGCTGGGCTGAGGAGCCGTGGCCACAGGCAGGGTGACCGGTCTCCTTCCGCTGAGCGGAGTGGGAGATGGTGTGAAGGGGGTCGGCTTCCCCATGATCTTTCTTGCATCACGTGGGTCTTTAACTCCATTTTCCAAAGGCAGCCTCAACGCTGATCTCCCCTTGGTGCCAGCCCAGTGAAGTCCTGGCTGCCTTTCACGTAAGGGATGTGCCCAGGACCCAGGGTGAGGGGGTCCCAGGCACCGAGAGCTCGCCCGGGGGCCACCTCCGCTCAGTCCGTCACCGGTCACGCCCACGGCACGGCTCTGCCCTGAGGTCCACTCCAGCTCCAGGGCGGGTGCTGGCCCTGGCCCTGTGTGCAGCGTGTCTCCGTGAGGGCTGATGACGTCACATCTGCTTAGGGGGGTGCAGCCGCGGGCCTGGTGTGTGTGGGGCAGGCGGGGGGAGGCGCTCGGCCGGTCATTTCCAAAGGCGCGTGCTCAGATCGCACCCGCACCTTCCAAACATCTCCGGGCAAGACCGTCTGCCCTGGAGAGGAATCATTTCTGCAGCAATGTCTTTTAGAGCCAGAATCTGACTCACATCTGAAAAAAAAAGCACCATTTACTGCCCTGGCCGGTTTGCTCAGTGGATAGAGCGTCAGCCTGCGGACTGAAGGGTCCCAGGTTCGATTCCGGTCAAGGGCATGTACCTTGGTTTCAGGCTCCTTTCCAGCCAGGGCCCTGGTCAGGGCAGCAGGAGACAACCAATCGATGTGTTTCTCGAACATCAGTCGTTCTCTCTGTCTTCCCCTCTCTCTTCCTCTCTCTCTCTCTCAAAAAAAAAAAAGGATAAAAAAATATCCTCGGGTGAGGATTTTAAAAAGAAAGAAAGCAGCACTGACGTCATGCTCCAGGGGGCGCTGTGGGAAGTTTCACAGGACATGCACCTGTTTTGTTACTCCTTGAACCTGGCTGAGTGAGGTAAGACTGGAAAAGGTAGAACTCACCAAGACCAGCCGGGGAGTGACACAGGCCCACGGCCGCGGAGTGTGTGCGGACCTCACACAGCGGCTGGTCCACAGGAGCAGCGGGGGCGGGGCCTCCTCAGCGGGGACCAGGGACAGAGCCGCAGCACCAGCAGCAGCTTTTTTAGCGTGCCAATAGCGTGCCAACTCCCAAGAGCGGCCTTTACCAAAGTATCTATAGGCTCCCATTTATCTCAAAGGAGGAAGCGGCCGGGGGAGGACGCAGGTGCAGCCATGGCCACCAGGGGGCGCGGGCACGTCGGTGAAGAGCACTAAGCACGTTGTGGAAATGGGAGGTGTCTGTGCCCTCTATTGAGGAGTGCAGGGGCGGGAGGGATGGAGAGAGATTCCTGGATCGGAGCTCCCTTCTAAAATACAGCCACTTCCTGTCTCAGGAAACCCAACCAGGGGCAATTCCTGAGGGCCGTGGGGCCGGGTGGTCGGCTGAGGCTCTTCAAAGGCAGGAGGAAGGCTTGGCCACTCATTTCCCTGGAAGGTCTTTGGGCCTCAGGGAAGGACGCTGTGGGGCCTGGGTCCAGATTTGGCTGCCATACCTGTGAGGGCACCTCTGCCTGAGGCCCCCGCTGTGCCGTTTGTTTCTGAGTGCTGCCCTCAGGGTCAGCTGCGATTAATAGATTGAGAGACCTCAGCAGCATTGGAATTCTACCTGGTGTGCGCGGGTTTGAACCTGAGCCGACTGCGATCATGCAAACACTAGCAGACTTCTTGTTGACCAAGTGGCCTCCGTGGGATTTAGTTTCCGTGTGGTTAGGGGCCAGAGTCCAGTCCCACGACGCCTCTCCTGCCTGGGAAGTGGAGTGGGTCCCCATGAGAGGATTTCCCAATCAGCAGGAACCCAGAGCCATCAACTCCACAGCAAGTCCTGACTGTCCTAGTCAACTATCCGTGATATGGCGAGAATGCCTGCCTCGGGACAGGCTGCAGTGGACGGTCTGGGCTAGATTCCAGTCCCTGAGCAAGACCAGAAAGGAGTGCGGGCCGAGCTGGGACACCCAGAGGCCAGGCAGGGCAGCAGGGGAACCTGTCGGAGCCACAACTCCTGGAAAAGCAAAGCTCACGGGAAACAACAGACAAGTGCCTGGGAAGCACTCTGGTGCTGGAGGCAGGAAGGGCCCACTGTGTGTGTCTGGGGCAGCTGCTGTCGGGGCAGGAATGACTTGCCCGGCACTGGAGTCTTCCTGGCACCCGGTCTATGGACACTCTCCGAGGTGTGCCAGGCCCCTTGCACGCTGCCTGTGCACAGCCGCTCCGGAGACGCAGTGGCTCTGCTGGTGTGAGACCAGACGGGCTTTCTGTGCCCGATTTCTAAAGGACAGCGCTCTTTCCTCACCCTGAGTTGCGTCTGTTGGACACGTGAAATTTTGAACTGATCTTTCAGCCACTTCATGGACGTGCTGGCCATTGCTCAGAGGTGCCCCGTGGGCTGCGGGTTTGGGGAGTGACGGGCAGGGCAGGAGGGGAGCCCCGAGCTGGCCGGCCGTGGTTAGACACCTGCCCCGGGCTGGCAAGGCCAGGCGCCAACTTGGGGGACCTTGTCGAGTGTCTCCTCCTCTTGGCCCTGTGGAGCCTGTGCCGGGCCTGATCTCCCGCTCTTCGGGCCAGCAGGGCCTCTGCGGCTGGGCTGGCTGAGATGGGGAAGGTGACTCAGGTGTCGGGAGCCGTCGGGAGGGTCTTGCCGAGAACGTAGCATTCTGCCCGGAGAAGATGACTCCTCGTCCAGAAGCGTGCTCCTGGGAAGGTCTGGCGAGCAGGTCGGGCTGGTGTGAGGCGCTGCTGAGTCGCACTCCCTGTGGCTCAGCCCGCAGCAGCCAGTGGAGGCGGCACCAGGGAGCCAGGCCAGGAGGGTGTGGTACCCCCACCTCCAGCCGGGAAGGTCCCCCTGTGCTGACCAGCTCACTGTGCGGGGCAACTGGGCCGCCCAGGGCAAGCCCTGGTTTGGTGTGGGAAGCACCGAGGGGTTCAGAACCAGGCCTCTGCATGGCGGCACGCCAGACGTGGCTGGGAAGTCGTGGGGAGGACACTGAGGAAAGGGGGGGGTGTGGAAGGCCGCCGCCCTGTTTATCGGAATTCCAACTTGGGGAGACCAAGGGGCGCCCCGATGATCCCTGGCCTTTCCAGGCAGCCTGAGCACGGCGGACCCAGGTGTTCACTGGAATCCTGTGGCCCAGAGGACAGTGTGCACACGTGTCCTCCGAGATCTCTTCACCTGCTGACGGCACCTAAAGACAAAATTCCAATAACGCCAATGAGGCGGGCATGGAGGCTGCTCTGCCACCAGAGCCGGAGGCCCCTCACCCTCTCCCCAGTGACTCTGAGTGACTGCGCCCAGCTCAGGGCTGCTGCTCAGCCCGGCAGCCTCCATGGCCATGTGGCTGCTTCCCTCGGAGCAGGCCTCCCGGGGCGCCAGTGGGATCTGCTCCGCGACCCTACACTCTTTCTGCCTCTGCACGGCGGGTCGCAGACCACGTGGCGGAGACGAGACCTGGTGACTTCCCCTCTTCCCCCGAGATAAAGGGAATGTCTGTAACTAAGGAGGGGACGCAGGGCACCATGTGGCTGAATTATAACTGACTCTGGACTTGAATCTGCCAGGAGTGCTCCCCAGGTAAGACCGCAGGTGACTTGGGAACGGCCAGGTGAACCCCCATGTGCCCGTCCTGAGACCCCACTTCTTGGCCTGCACATGGGAGGAGGCCGGGACGCTGTGCGGGGCCTGCCTTCCCTGTGTTGGAATGGGATTGCCCCATTACTTGCTCAAAGACAAAATAAATAAATAAATAAATAAATAAATAAATAAATAAATCAATCCCAGGACACATTCCCTCCCACTCTAAAACGTGGACTCGGACCCTCAGAGCGGGCACCGCTAGCTTAGATGCACACACACCTGGCGGGTCGGCCCGGACCTTCGGTCCCCGCCACCAGGTGCAGTGGGAGAAGCTGTGTGAGACGGAGGCACTGTGTTAGGAAATGTATGAGGCCCGGTGTGAACAGGTTTTCTTGCTCTCACTGGAACGCAAGGCGACCTCACCACCTAACGCACATGACAAAAGCCGCGTTAAATGCCGAGTGATGGCTGGGGAGTCCTCAGCGTCTTCTTGGCTCTGAGGGCCCCAGGGCTGCTTTTTGGAAAATCAGTGTCAAGAGCAGTGGCCCCCAGGCCCCTCCGGCCGGGCCCCCTCTGGAGCCCCCCCCGCCACTCCTACCCAAAGGGCAGGTCTTGGGCCTGAGGGCGGATTCCCAGTTGAGTCCTGGTTCCCTGAGCTCAGTCCATTCCAAATTGTAACACCACCTCCCCTTTTGAAGAAAAACCCATCAATACATGGTTGGTTTTGAACCTTTAATAGACATAAAAAACAAATGCAAAAAGAACACAATGCTGACAATGAGTATGACGAGAACCTCCCGGCTGCTCCTTCTGGCGTCGTGCACGCTGGTCACACACGTGACTACCAACTTGGGTCACTTTGGTTCATGTACTTGCTGTAAAGTATTGGCAAAGGGAGTTACCAGATTCACATTTTTTGGCCACATTATTTCTAAGGGATACAGATTTACTTCCAGCTGCAGAGGAAAAAACACTAGTTGTTTGCCCTCATCAAATATATTTAGATTCGATGACTGCTTTCAGATAATGACTTCCGGTTTTCACAAAATGCTGGCGTCTCTGTTAAAAAATCTTTGCATATTCTCATCATTCATCTTCAGAGAATGTACAGGGGCTCATTGCAAACTTCAGGACAATCCCATTTTCTCAACAACATTCTCCCCAAACAAACCAGCCACAGGAACTCAGCATCACTGTGAGAGCTCTTATCCAGACAGCCGGGTCCCGGCAGCCAGGGCCCAGCGCTGCCGCTGGCTTCCGCCCCAGGAGCCTTTAACCAGCTGCTTTCCCAGAATCTAAACCAAACACATGTACATTTCAAAACACAAAGAGGATACATTGTAAGTGAGTTACTGAAACCCACAGAACTGGAGAGCTGAAAGGAGCGGGCTCAAGCAGGCATGGCAACAGCGACTTCCCGGGAGGAATTATTGCTGACCTGCCTCCATGCAGGGCTGAAATGGAGACCTCTAACATCTCACTCATTAAAAAAAATAAATATGCAGAGAATACAAGGCTCAGATTGGTTTTCGTACACATTGCACTTGAAGTGAAGGACCTGATGCTTGCAAACCGGGCCCCGTGGCCTGGCCACCGGGTGGATGCACTGTGCTCGCACGGCCCCGTGGCCTGGCCACCAGGTGGATGCACTGTGCTCGCACCTCAGCACAGAAAGAAACAGTGTTGGAGCAGGGAGGGCGCGTAGTTCACAAGGCAATCACAGATTGCAGATCCTATAGGGCCGAGGGAAGTCCTCTCGACGCTGGAGCATCGAGGACACAGCAGTCCGGCTCATGGAGGCGGAAACCTGGGGCAGACCCGACTTCGTCCACGCGTCCCCTGCAGAGCTGCCCCCACTCAGTGCGACGGTCTCCGAGGGCACCGCGACCCCACTGCGCCACGAGCGATGGGCCTGTCCTGGCCACCAGGTGCCCTGCTGCAGCGCTTTGCACACAGCCCTATTTGTAAAATCTTGGGATAAATATCATTCCTATGTTAACACACTTGCCTTCGTTAAGCACCTGCAAGCTCTCCACTGTGGCAGGACCCCAAACCAAGAGCTGGGACTTGGGCTTTAGTTCAAGGCTTTGTAATATGGCAACTTGCTTTTTATGAGAGAAACAGCATGGGACGCCCGGAAATGGCGCCCGTGGCCCCTGCCCCCGCCGGGTCCTGGGTCTGCAGGGCAGGGCAGGGCAGGTGCGAGGGAGCTGAGGTGGCATCTCCAGGCGAGCTGTCCCCTGGGCACCTGCTCATCTGCACGGGCGAGCGGTTTCCAGGAGTCCCGGGTGAGTCCCCGTCTCCGTGGTCCCGATCCGAGGGAAGACTGTCGCTGTCCCGTCCACGTCCATGCCTGGGTGTCAGTGCCACGCCCGCTGTCCCCCGAGGCGGTGGCGGGAGACTCAGTCGCTGTGTGGCTTCTCGGGGACGCCCTATGAGAACAGAGACAGAGTGAGTGACATGAGCCGGGCACAGAGCTGCTGGCCATCGGCGGGCCTGGAAGGCAGAGGGGAGGCCCCGGCCGGGGTATGACATGGACGGGAAGCCTCGGCCCAGACCTCCCGTGACAGACGTGTGAGGTGCCGGGTCCGTGTCGTCCCCCAAGGGGCGTCGGGGCACAGACCTTGGGGAATGGCCACCTGGGAGCATGAGGGACAGAAGGAGGAGGAGCCACAGGACTCGGAGCCGGGCTCACAAAGGCTCACTCGGAGGGGCGGGGCTCGGAGCGCGTCTGCGGGATGCGCCAGATTGGGAACCAGAGAGAGAGCACGCACCGCCGCCGGAGTCGGCCCAGCCCACACGGTGCCCACACATGGTGCCGCCGAGCGCAGCGTGTTCGGTGGCGAGAGGGCTGCCACCGTGCCGCCAGCCCAGGACCCTGACAGGAGAGTGACCGGCGTGGCCTCCATCAGAGGCGCAGGGCACACTCGCCACAAGCCCAGCGCCGCCCTCTCTGCACCCATCGGGCCAGTGGCTGTCTCTCCGCCTTAGGAGGGGGGGCAGCTCCTCCCGGTGCCCGCTGCGCGGGGACTGCCAGCCAACGGCGAAGCAGCCAGGAGGCGCCAGCGGTCCCTGAGGGAGGCACAGGCCCGTGGCCGTGGCAGCCGGAAGCCTGGCTTCTTTGTAAAAGAGCTTTAAGCTGCTAACAGCAACAGCTTCAAACCCTCCGAGAGCCTCAGGACGGGCTGTAAACACACAGGCTGGTGACAGTGCCACCAGAAGCCGCTGGCAGCACCAGCCAGGCGGAGCCCGCACCGCGTGGCAGCCAGCGCTCGCACCGCAGGGAAGCGGGTCCACGAACAGCCTCCTGCAGCCCAGTGAGCTGCTGGGACCTGGCCCCTGAGTACCCACCAGCCGGTGGGCAGGCCACTCACACATCGCGCCCCTCAAGGGGCAGAGCCTGTCCACAGCGTTAGTGAAGACCGAGGTGGCGGCTGGGAAGGGGGGCACCTGGGTGAGGACAGGAGGGAACCAGGAACAGGGTGCAGCAGCCACTGATAAGAATCGCCATGACGACGGACCAGCAGGAGCCCATGGTGACATGGACTCGGCCAGACCCGGTCGCCATGCTAAGCATGGTGCCCACCTGGGGTCTCCACCCGCAGACCGCGCCTTCGCCACGGTCACAGCTCACACCCGGCAGCTGTGAACGCGGCAGACACCGCCAAGCCAGGCCGGTTCCTCGTGTCACGTGGGAGTGCACAGCCGGTGACACGCCCGTTTCTAAAACACCGACCAGATGACCCTATTTTCACAAACACAATGATGTACGAAAGCTGCTAATTTGTTTCATTTCTCCAAAGAAAGAAACTAGAGGCGTAGGCTTCTGAAGAGGCCACTTCGTGGCACAGCCGAGGCCTCCTGCCGCCGTGAGTGCCCGTAAGAGAATGGGTGCGGCCTAGGGTTGGCCGTCCCGGGCGACACCGCACCTGCAGGACCGGCGCCGGCTCGGCTTTGGGCAGCGGGGGGCCCGATCTGGCAGGGGGAGCAGGCGGCACCTCCCGCTGTGGTTCGGGGAAAGCCCTCCACTGCTGCTGGGAGTCTCCCCTTCTAACAACCCTTGTTGTCAGTGTGGTTTGCATTCTCAGCCCTGACATAATCTGGAGTAAAAGTGCTTCCCCACGTTCCAAGTGGAGTCTTGTGCAAGCCAGCCTGGCTCCACGCATGCGTCTTCCTGCTGCAGCAGGAGCACACATTCCAGAAAGGCTCTCCGTGGCCCAGGAAACACGCCCTTCCTTCCGGCTGGCGGGGGCGGGCTTCCTGGGGAGGGGACTTGGGCCCCAAGGCCAGAATGGGAAAGCGAGCTGGGCTGTGCTTTCCCACGAGGAGGACTCACAGGCCTTTGGGGGGGGAGGGAAACCAAAGGCAGGCCAGCCAGCACCGAGAGGTCATGTTTGAGAAGACCACAAGGGCGGAGAGACAGCCTCTTGTCTGCCTGAGAGCAATGGGCCGACTGAGACTCCAGCTTAATGTCCACACTGAAGCGTCTTTGCAACAAGTGTTCAGACACTGATTCTAACCACCGGGCACTGCACTGTGACCCTGACTGCGCTTCCTGCTGGCTCTCACACAGTGGTGCCAAGGGGACTGGCTTCTTCCTCTTACAGGAAGGACAGGCTGTGCCAGGCGGGCCACCTCCCGTGACGGTGGGCCAGCCCAACCTGGCACCTGCAGGTGGGCAGCCTCGGCCTCCGGCTCCGCCTGCCCTGCTGCCCTGTCCCCATGTCATCCGCACCCTCGGGAGGGAGGACGCTCCCGGCAAACCACCCTCTGCTGGCCTCGGCGTGCTCTCTGCGCCTGGCCGCAGGCACTGGGCTGCAGGAGGTCAGGGGCCCTGCGACCCCAGGCCTGCGCCGTGCTCCCGGGTATGGGCACCCTTGTGACTGAGCAAAGAACTAGCTGGGTTTAAAAAAAAAAATATGCTTTTCTCAATAACTGTTGCTGCTGAGTCTCAGGAAGACATTTGTCAACACCCAGGAAATGTCCCATAAAGCGGTCCTCCGGAGCCGACCCACAGGGCAGGTGCCAATGACAATGCACGTACCATGGCCAGCTGTCGTCCTATGTTCCCAACCGTCACGCCCCCGGAGAAGAAGATGCAGGGAAGCCAGGAGCGGATGTAGAGGAAGTCTGGGGAGGTGTACCTGCGGGCAAAGGAGAAAGGCTGAGCCGGCGGCTGCGGGAGTCCTGCCCAGACGGGTGTTCACATCGGACCGCCCGTCCCGCCCCTGGGTGGTTTACTGTACAGGGCGCTGCGGGCGGGGCAGCCAGCAGCACTTCCGGAACGTGCCGGTGGCTCCGCAGAAACAAACGGGAAGCCTCGGCCCAGTGGCGGCTGCCACGCGTGCTTACTGGTAGACGCCGTTGTACACCAGCAGCTGGGTGATGAGCGTGGCGAGGAAGGCGATGGTGATCCCGAGCCCAAGGCCGCTTCTCGAACGGTCAAATGTCCACCAAAGGCCCAAGGACAGGGCCGCTAAAGTCAGGGAGAGCTGAACATTATTGGCAAAATCCAACTTCTGATGGTGGAAAGTTAAGGAAAAGTTAGTGGTTTAATAAGATCAAAACCCAGAAAACCCCAGAGCCCACGTGTCTGTCTTCTTGTGCACATCATTCTCCACCCACAACAGCTGCCCCATGAGCTGCAGAGAGGGGGTTGGAGACAAGGGTCCCGAGCAAGGTCACGGGGCACAAACTCATCTTCCGGCAAGCTTCCGGAAGTGTATGTAAAATTCTGCTGCATTTCAGCCACAACACAGCCTGTTCTGGTAGTAAGTCATCTCAGTCCTGTCCTTTCTGTCTCATCAGTAACTGAAGTGTGAGCGTTCTCCTCGCCGTCTGCGTGAGGCCCTCAGACGGCGTTCATCATCACGCACTCCCGGCGGAGCGCACAGCTGACTCCCCACAGCTCTGCTTGCCGGCCGGGGCAGACTAAGATATCTTAGAACTAGCACCTTTCAGTGGCAGCTCACGTCACCTGGGGGAGCAGAGTGAGGAACTGGCAGCTCTGAGAAATCTGTCTCTAAGATTGAAAACAGACTCTCCAGGAGCCAACAGACTCTTCTGAGCCCTGGGACTATGGACCTTCCTCCTAAAATGTCCCATGTTGTGCACTCCACCGGGGACCTGCGGACTGCCGGGCACTGCCATGGTCCTGGCCGGGCCTCGCCTCGGCCTTCTGGGAGAAGCCCAGCAACAGTGACCCTGTCACCAGTGGTCAACGGGCCACAGGAGCCAGGACACCACAATGCAAAGACGGAAGAACAGATTCCCAGGAAGGAAGATACTGCCTTGGGCAGGGTCTGCGCCGTCTCTGGAAATAACCTGGGAAATACGCCGGAGGACTCAGGGCCACGCTAACACCTGGTGAGTGTGAGCTAAGCCACAGACTCTAAATAAAACGTGAAAAACTTCACCCACAGACTCTGACAGCACACACTCACCCACAGTAACACCACGCTTCCACACACAGCTACAGAGCATGCTCTAAACCCGGTAGCTCATGGAAGGATACAGCGCTGGCATGGTTGATGCCTACGAACACCGCCACGCAGCGCATCACGCTGGCCCATTCCCGCTTAAACTTGTGGGGCTCCCCGAGGTGACTGTCGATGCAGGGGTACAGCAAGCCGACAACCGCTGCCAGACAAGAAGAGAACAGTCAGAATGACATCAGTAACATCACATGACCAATAACAGCCTCAAATGACAGGCTTTCTAGGTGGCATTCAGACAACACCCACCTGGAGACTGACCCGCGGCAATGTAATGAAATTCAGACTCATTTTATATTTTTGTTCTCCTTCAGTACTAACAAAAAATCAGTTTAAAGCAAAGCCAGTCTTTGATTTACTGAAGCCGACGTGAGCGAAGCAGGGGCTCAGCCACACGCCTGAGCTCTGTGCCTGCTCTGCTTCGCCCACCTGACTCCCATCTACGAGAAGGGGCCTCCGGGAGCCCTCCCAGCCCCGTCATGCCGTAGTATGACGCCCCTCCAGGGCCAGCGCTGATGCTGGTCTCACTCTGACGTTAGGGTCAGAGGCCCTGTGCCCACAGGCTGGCCTGGGCTAGTGGTGAGGGGTGAGATCTGACCACAGGAGACGGAGAGCACCAGCTGTCCCTGGAGCTGGGCCTCACGGTGGGAGCCCAGCGCCAGGCATGGCGGCGGCTCCTGCTTGCTTCCTCCTGTGTAAATGAGGTTATGCAACAGGAAGCCAGAGGAGGAGCCCACTCCCTGGGATCTGAGCAGCTAGAAAGTTTTCAGGCCCAGAATTTGAAAGCATGAGCGAGTAGAATGAAGCCAGGAGGCATGGGGTTCCGGGAGAGAAGCCAGCGGAAGGCGTGAGGCACGTGGTGACTGGTGCGGATGCACCCCAGGGCGTGTGGGCTGGCTCCGGCTGGAGGGCCAGGCAGAGCCCCGCTGTGTTCCAGGAGAGGTGACTGCTCTGGGTTCTTGAACAAAGACCAGGAAACACAGTTCTGGCTAAACTCGAAAGTGAAAGACTTTCAGTTTCAATTTCATGTTACATTTCAAGCTCTAATTTTGGAGCTTCGAAAAACAGAACTCCAAACTCTGTAACTTACTGCACTATAATTTAACTTTACCTTTTAAAAAATATTTATATTTTATTGATTTTTTACAGAGAGGAAGGGAAGGATAGAGAGAAACATCAATGAGAAACATCGATAAGCTGCCTCCTGCTAAGGATGTGCCCACAACCAAGGTACATGCCCTTGTCAGGAATCAAACCTGGGACCTTTCAGTCTGCAGCATTCCTAGAATTTCCTGAAGCTTCCATTACAAAGAAGGCAAGACCTTTAATTTTTAAGATTAAGTTAAAAAAATTTTTTTTTTCTGATTTCAGAGCTTGGGAGAGGGAAATAAGGATAGAAACATCAATGATGAAAGAGAATCACTGATTGGCTGCCTCTGTACACCCCGCACTAGGGGCTGAGCCTGAAACCCAGGCATGTGCCCTGACCTGACAGGAAACGAACTGTGACCTTGTGGTTCATAGGTGGACGCTCGACCACTGAGCCACACAAGCCAGGCTACGATCAAGTTTTTGATCCAAAGAAACTATTGCACCAAATGTGTATGGAAAATAGAATTCACATCTAAAGCTAGTACTTAAGCCAGCACAGAGTAATTTTAAAGGGTTTCAAAAAATGAAGCAGGACCAAAGATGAAAACATTGTCCCTCTAGGAAAAAAAAGTAAAATAAAATAGTTCCCCTGCTCCAAAACCAGTGTCTCTACCCCCAGGTGTCCTGGCTGAAGCATACCGACACTCTGAGCCTCCTGCCTCCCTGCTAACATGAGTCTGTTGCCCAGACTCCAGGGAGGCTGGCTGTGTCCCTGGGCACGGAGTGGAAGCTGTGACTCAGTGTCCACACTGTCATATGGAGCTATAACTGAGCAGGGGAAGCACAGGGGTAGCCACCAGGCACAGCGGGCGCCCCTCCCCTGGCTGTGCAGCGCGTTTGCCCTGTCTGCCCGACAGACCTTGGGGTCCTCAGGAAGGACCAGCCCCCTGTGTTTCCGCAGGGCAGAGCTGAGGCTGCAGGAAGTGGCTGACAGAATTTTATTCCCAAATGCTGTGTGCCTGAGAAGTACCACGGCATCTGGGCAGGGAACCATTCAGCATCCTTAGCCAACCAGCTAAATAACCAAAAACTCTACCGCAGAGACAGCCTGCCTGCCCACCGTTTAGATGAGCCTGTGTTAAGTACTGGGCACAGGTGCCCACCTGGGTGCACAGGCCCCACACCCCAGCGGGGTCACTCTTCCCCCAGGCTGGGGCAGGGCCTGGCCCGCAGAAGGAAGTAGGGAGGCGGTTCCCTGGCAACGCCTCTGCCCACGTGACAGTTTGTTTTCAGTTACCCGGCGTGTAGCATGTTTGCAGCCACAGCCAATAGCGGCCAGGTGCCTCTGCTCACCAGTTCTGCGGGCGACCAATCGGGGCAGCTGGCTGGGTGACAGCCTGGCTCCGGAATACGGTCCCAACCGGGAGCCCCAAAGTGAGGGAAAGGTCTGGCCCAGCGCTTATCTCCCCCCTCATCTCCATCAGCTTCCTCTCACCTGGAGGCGGCCTCGGGGATTCCATGTCCCCTCCTCTCCCTAAAAACAGCAACCCGGGGCAGGCATGCTTTCCCTCTGGATGGCTCCATTTTCAAATAAATGCTTCTGAGAGCCCGAAAAGCACTGAACAGACAGACATCTTTAAAACAAGTTCTACTCACCAGCCGCCGTCCCACAACAGGGAGGGACCCACCAGGCGGAGGAGAAGATGGTGGCGATCACCTCCTCGGGGAACAGGGTGACGTTCCTCTGCACTTGCAGCAGGTTGAGCACGAGGGCGAGGACCACCCCGACGGAGAAGAGCACCAGGCTCCTCTGCAGCAGGTGGTGGTGCCAGCTGGTGGCGTAGCCCCCTTCGCCAGGGCCCAGAGGCGCGGGAGCTGGGTCGGGGTCGGGGGCGCTGCGGGCGGCCCGCAGCGAGGGCCCGGCCACCGAGGAGGTGATCATCTCCCCGACCTTGGCCGCCAGCCCTCCGGCGCGGGCTGCCGGGCGGCCTCGGTGCCTGGCGCCCTGAGCACACGAGCAGCTCCAGAAGTGGTCGTCCAGTCTGGGCATCAGCCACCGGAGTGGGACGGGCTTTCCTGGAAGGAAAAGGGGGCCGGGAAGGCGGGGTCACGGCCAAGTTCATTTCCAAGGAACGGGAGACCCACCCGGGGGGCTGTGCTCTCCTTCATCGCCAGCCCATCTGGGGAACCCTGCCTGCCCGGGAGCCGCGGGGACGGGCGCACCGGGGGCAACGGGCGGGGGGCACGGGCTGCGGCGCCGACTCGTTCCCGCCCGCACGCGCCCCTGTACCCCAAAGTTTCCCAGACCCCGTGAGTGCGCAGGCCGCCCAGGACGAGGTACCGGGGTCCCGGCGGGCGGAGGGGGCCGGGGCCGGGCCCACAGGCGTCGGGAGTGCAGCAGATCCCACCGGGGTCCGCATCGAAGCCGCAGACCCGACGGAGGCCGGCTGCCCCGCTCCCGGGCCCGCGCCGCGCTCCGCGTACCTGGCCGAGGGGCGCCCGCCCGCGGGCTCGCCAACGGAGGGGGTCCCAAAGGAGGAAGCGCTGGACGCGCCGGCCCGGACTGCCCGGAGTTGGGCCCGCGGCTCAGCGCGCGGTTTATAAGGTGGCTGGCGGGGCCCGGGTCACGTGATCCGGCGCCCGCCGCCCCGCTCGTGCCTGGGGGCGTGGCCTCCGCGCGCCCCGCCCCGCCCGCGCGCCGGTGCGCTCGCGGTCTGGTGAGGCGGCCGCGGCCAATCGGGGGCGGGCGGCCCATATGACGTCAGCACACGCCACCGCCGGCCGCCGGCTCCGGAGCGCGGACCGACGCGCGCGGGCGCTGGGCTGGGGGGCCGCGCGGGGCCAGGGGGCACCGACGGCCGCTGAGTGGGCGCCGAGGAGCGGCGGGGCGCGGGTGCCGCGTGCCCCCTCGTCCGACCCCGACGCAGCGCGTCCCTCGCCCGCGGACGGAGGCTGCTCTGCCGGGATTCCTGGGCGGAGGAATCGCGCCGCCGCCGGCCCCCCTGGCTCAGCCCAGGGAGCCTTGGCGCTGGCCCACACGTGGCCGGTTCATAAGCTTCTGCTGACTTTGCCCTCCACCCGGCCGTCTGCAGGCGGTCCTGCCCCGCCGGGTCACCTGAGGGTGCTCCGACCGGGACTCCGCGTCCGCCCCGAGCTGCCAAGGGAGGGTCCCCACGCCCGCTCCGGGCGGAGTGAGTTGCGCGACCAGATTGGTTCAGAAGCCTTTGGGGAAGGGAAGTCCTTCATGAAAACCTAAAGGAGAAACTTCATTCATGCAGTAATTGCTCCCGGTTTCCACTGGTCTTTCCTCACGTTCGGAATGCAGACTGTCAGTACCCCTTTGGAGAAGAGAAAATCCCTTTGACCTTGTGGGTGCGCCTGGTATTGAGTCCTGGTTGCCACGTGAGCCTCGCTGTGCAATAGGAAGGCAGTCCCGGGCCAATTGAACACCCATGTCTGGTTGAGCAAGATCAGGTTATTTAAGACGTTTTATTGCAATAAAGAGTTTGTGGTCTTCTGTCCCCAGATGAGAGAGAGAGGAGGTGGGGGTGGGGGGAGTTTGTGCTCTAAATACCGGATGTCCCAGCCAAGACACCCTCCAGCCGCGCACCTGAAGAATCCAGGCTAAGGGTTAAAAATAGAGCCGGAAACGTCCTTCGATGTACCCGTTTTTCCCAGAGCTCATGTATTTTGGGGGTGAGGTTCATGTGAATTGGGAATGATGAAACAGGAGATTTCAAGGAAAAGGAAAGCTGACAGTGGCTGTGCCCACACTCTTAACTGTAAGAAGTGAAGGGAATTGTAGGAAATTTGAGAAGCACCATGTAAAGACATTTGCCATTCATTGGCTTGGTAATTTTTCCCATTGATTTTTAGAGGGATGGGAGGGGGAGGAGAGAAACATCAATGGGTCTCCATTGGTTGCCTCCCACACAACCCGACCCAGGCTAAGGATTGAACCTGCAACCTAGGTATGTGTCCTTAACCAGGAATAGAACCCTTGACCCTGTGGTTCGAGGTCTGAGACTCTAACCACTGAGAACTCCAGCCAGGGCCTGGTTTTCCTGCCTGGTTGTGCTGCGGGTGTATTTACCCAGTTCATGATGCCAGCCTGGCATGAACCTAACCTACCGTGTTTCCCCGAAAATAAGGTATCCTCCAAAAATAAGACCCAGCGCATGGAAAGATAAGACATCCCCTGAAAATAAGACCTAGCGCAACTTTGGGAGAAAAAGTTAATATATAACACTGTCTTATTTTCGGGGAAACGGTAGTCTTTTCTGCTTCTATGAGAGCACTAGTATTAAAAAAGTCATCATTGTAGATAATGAAAATTGTTATTGAACACTTTTGTTCAAGCAAAGCAGTGTTTCTAATTATGTGACTTGTTTTTATTTCTTGAGCTCAACCCAGACAGTGGGAGGGGCTGGAATGGGGAGGGCTGCTACCTTCACCTGTCCCTGGGCTGGAGCAGAATCAGGCCTCACTTTCTCTGTTTCTCTCTAACACTGTTACCATTATATCCTCTGTTCCCAAAGGTTCAGAGCAGTTTTGACTTTAAGCAACATTGTAATCTAGATCTTGGTCACTATGCCCATTCAGCTCGCATAAGTTCATGAAGATATATGGAGTGGTTATCTATCTATCTATCTATCTATCTATCTATCTATCTATCATCATCTACTAGAGCAGGCGTCTTCAAACTACGGCCCGCGGGCCACATGCGGCCCGCAGAGGAGTCTGATCCGGCCCGCCAGGTTTTTTGGGCAGTGAGCGCAGCCGAGGTGTTACAGTAGGAATTAGTAGTTCATATAGTCCGGCCCTCCAGCTCTCTGAGGGACCGTGATCTGGCCCCCACTTTAAAAAGTTTGAGGACCCCTGTTAGAGGCCCTGTGCACAAAGATTCGTGCAAGAATGGGCCTTCCTTCCCCTTGCTGCAGGCACCACTTTTGCTCTGGCCGGGAGCTGCCTTTCCACCTTCCCATACCACTATCTTTATTGGGTTAATTTGCATAATCACTCCTGATTGGCTGGTGGGTGTCGCAAAGGTATTGTCAATTAGCATGTTACTCTTTTATTAGGTAGACTGGAGGCCCAGTGCATGAATTCATGCATAGGTGGGGTCCAGCTGGCCTGCCCCAATGGGGGCCATCAGGCCCAGGCCAGTGGGGTTGGGGAGAAGGGCCACAGGCAGTTGGCCTGTTGGCCCCACCCCCAATTGGGGGCGGTGAGGGCCTGATGGGGGGTTGGCTGACCAGGAGGAGAGGCTGAGGAAGGTTGGAGGAGTCAATCGGGCCCCGATTGGGGCTGGTTGGCCACCACAGTGCACATCACAGCAACCAGTCTTCTGGTCATTTCAGTCGTTCCATCTTTCGGGTTGCTTGGCTTATATATATATTGATTAATAACCATTTATAATAAATATTTTTTTAAAATGAGGTAGATGTTTAAGTATATATTGTTTTAATTTTAATTAAAATATCACGTGCTGATTGTAAGACATTCAGAAAATATGGAAAATTGTATTTTTAAAAATCCATAACTCAGCCCTAACCAGCTAGCTCAGTTGGTCAGAGCATTGTCCCAATCTGCCAAGGTTTTTGGGTTCCATCCTTGGTCAGGGCATATTTGCCCTGGTGTGGTTGGTGTGGCTCAGTGACTGAGTGTCAACCTGTGAACCAGGAGGTCACAGTTTGTTCCCAATCAGAGCACATGCCCGGTTGCAGGCTCAATCCCCAGGGTGGGGCTGTGGGAGGCAGTGGATCAGTGGTTCTCTATCATCATTGATTTCTCTTTTCCTCTCTCTCTCTCCCTTTCTCTCTGAAATAAAATAAAAAACATATTTTGAAAAAAAGAATTAATGAATCTGGAAATAAGTGGAACAACAAATCCATGTTACTCTCTCCCCACTTACTCTCTTTCTAAAATTAATAACTTAAAAAGCACACATCAAAATCCCACCACCTAGAGAGACCCCTGTAACATTTTTTTTTGTTGGGGGGGGGTTTGTTATTTTCAGCTATGCACGAAGGTGTGCACTTTGTAAAAAGCACAAGGAAGTTCACACTTCGTGTCATCAGACCAAATCTTCAGAGATCCTGACTCTCCTTCAGAGCCAACCAGTGTAGAAAGGTCATCATTTGGTAACAAGTTTATTGAGATAGAATTAACAAACCAGGCCATTCACCATACAAAGTGTATAATTCAATGGCCTTTAGTCTATTCACAAAATGTGCCACCATCACCACATTCAATTTTAGAACACGTCCATCAACCCCTAAAGGAACCTCCTGGACTTTAGCTCTCACCCCCTGCCTCCTCCCCGCCCCTTCACTCCCCCCCCTCCCCCCCCCCCGCCCCGCCCCCAGCTCTTCTAGCCCCAGGCAAAAACACTCATCTGCTTTTTTCCCTGCCAGCTTCCCGCCAGCCGGAAGTTCCTTAGGGATGGGATGGGTACCACGCAGGCTGTGTCTGCCTTTCACTGAGCATGGTGTTCAGGTCATGCCCTGTGGCCTGAACAGACTTTGCCTCTGGTGAGATCCCATCCCTCACAAACACTGCATTCGCACCCCTCTCCAGCGAGGGCTAGCGCCTTGTTTGAGCTTTGGGCTACGATGACTAGTGCCTCCATGAACTGTGTGGGTGTGTTTCTGCGAGGATGTGTTTTCACTTGTGGACGAAAGGGGCCGCATGCTGACCTGACAGCTCAGGGAAGGCCGGCATGGTGGTCTTGCAAACTCAGAGACCTAAAGGAACCACAAAGGATGGTCTAAAACTAAAACTTTAACTAAAAGCAGTTATGGTGGGTAGTTATGTCCTCGGCTGGTATCTTCACTGACTAGGTCAGCCTTTACTTTAACCGAGCCTATGTGTCTTTTTGTATCTCTAATAACACTCTTGAAATGTCTGGGTAACGTGTAACTTCCCTTTCTCTGGAGCCCCTGGGCCACAACCTAATGTGCCTGGTGCCAGGACAGAGATCACAAATTCTTCATTGTATCATGTTAATTGTTCTTGCACCCACCTAACTATGAGTCTATCATTTTACCTTTTATCCAATCCCAGGGGTTTCCCTGCTTTGTGTTCTCCAGTCTCTCTGCCACATGTGTCAAACACAAGGCCCGAGGGCCAAATCCGTCCCGCCAGGCCTTGCAATGTGGCCCGCACCGCGCTGTCATCACTGCACTCCGCTGCGTTTCCATCACAATGACAGTTTATGACTGTTCAGTTAACCATTCGGCCCGCGATTTAGGCTGGATTTTAGATTTTGGCCCCTTCTCTGATTGAGTTCGACACCCCTACGTCTATCACCAATGGATTTCATGTCCCTTCTTTGATGGCAATATATAAACACAGATGTAACCTGCCATTCTCTGGAGCATTATCTCAATCCGTTGAGGTTCTGCTTCCCGGCATATGTCGACAGTTTGGCTCAAATAAACTCACAAAAAATCTTTACAGGTTTCAATGTTTTTTTTTATATTAACAGTGGGTAGTCATGTCCTAGGCCCACATCTTCCCTGGCAAGGTCAGTCTTTAACTGCTGGGGTCTTTTCTGCATCTACTAGGGTTCAGGAATCTGAAGAAGGGCTGGGCATAAATTAATGAAGAGACTAGAGAAAAAAATATGAATTTGGAAG